GTATCAATTTTTGTGTTGCTAACATCAGTTAGCTGCAGACATTAAAAGGTAATTTGCCAAAGATTGCTCATGAACTTTCCACTGAACCCTACTCCAAAACATCTGAACTATCACTTTAGGCCAGGGCTACTCAACTGGCGGCCCGTGGGCCACATCCGGCCTGCAAGTGACCAAAATGTGGCCCGCCAATTGGTTCATTCATCTCTTAAGTCCAAACCCCTGATTTTCTACTTTAGTTACTATTACTTCTTTTAGTTGAATATGTTTGGTGTCTACAGAAACGTCCGAATCTTGGCTAGAATCTGGTAAAAAATACATTTCAATGAATATCTAAGACAGTTAAAACTACAAAGAGTTGAAGATAAAACTACGAAAGTGACAATAAAATTGGTTTAAAAAGTTGGCAAGTCAGAGATGTCGAAATATTTGTGTTAAATAGGAGGCAGAATGTGTTATTTTTGTTTTTGATATTGTTTTAATATCACTACATTTATTACATAGGGTTCTGAGTGTTGTATTCATGATTAAATGCAGCAAAATAAACTAATTCAAAGGTAACAGATCTTTGTAATACTTAGTTTATTTACATAATGACTTTAATTCCTGGATGTTCAGCCCCTGTGCTGTTGGTCTGCATTAAATTTAGAAATTTAGTTGAATAGACCTGCTTTAGGCTTTCTTTGCCTTTTTAGTTACTTTACAGTTTTTCAAGCTGATGATGATATTTTAAATTTGTCTGTGTTTTGATGTTTAGCGAGCAGAGCTAATGTGGCTTCCTCACTTTAGCGCCACCTTGCACTCCACTGAGGAGCRTAAAGATGGGGATTCCCCTCCCCAGTTTACCAAAAACTCTAGGGCACCCCCACCTTACCCCCACCCCCACAGCTCTCCCCTCTAACTTTCCATGCTGGGCARGATGAATTAGCCCAGGGACAAAAGGCTTTGTGGCCCGGCCATGAAAGGCCTATTAACCATACTGCACCCCCCCAGAGGCGCTGCCCGCAGGACACCGCCTCCTTGAATGCCACTGTCTCAGCAGGCTGCAATCCCAGCATGCACTGCTTCCGTGTGAGGAACGGAGAAGAGGAGTGTCAGCGGTGTGTGTGAGCACGCAGTGTGATTTGTGCATCTCTAACCGACAAAGACTCTGGGTTGGATGGAGTGAGGAGCACCGGGTGCCTTTGGGGTGTCGGTTGTCAGGTGTGAATTCATTCACTGTGCCTCCTTTTGTTGAGAAGGTGTATTGTTCTTTAATGTGTGTGTGTGTGTGTGTGTGTGTGTGTGTGTGTGTGTGTGTGTGTGTGTG